ACACACGATCATCATATTTTGTGTGGGAGAGCCACAACATCCATTGTAGTCGACTTTCTCTGTACTGGATAGTCGTGCATTGACGTATGTTCCGTCAATAGCTCCAATACAGTTATGTCATATTCGATATAGTTCATTACGATTTCACATGTAACTCGTGTTGATGTATGAATGATATTTAAAAAAAATACCTTGAAGAACGACATGTATCGAGCGCATTTGCAATTTTTGTAGGAATGGACTGAAATGTGGGATCCTCGAGCTTAACTATCTTGGATGCCAAACTTACAAGAGCATTCAAAACCACCGTGAAATACCTGTTGATAGTCTCCGATGAATGTTGAAATCGCTTCATAGCTTTTCTAATAGATTCATTCTGTGATAAGATGAAAAGTATTATTGCTAACACTTATCTTCTTGTCATTCTAATGGATCTGTGTAATCCATGATGGTTTTGTAGTTTATTAAGTATATCAATAAATATCTCTTTTGTTATACGAAATATATTCGCGAACCTAGTTGGGTGGCCATGTAATAGTTCATTTACTCATTTATCCCCAATATAACTTGACGTCGTACGAAGGGGTTCTGTCGACGTAGGAAAGTTAGTACTCATATAACAATGTAAGAATATTAGCAATTTTTCTATTATAGTTCATTTGTTCTAGATCCTTCCTACAAAAGTCTTGAAAAGGATGTTAAAAAGTTAACATAGAAGAACTTAAGTCATTTAAAGAACAACATAGAACATCTGAAACGAGATATAATAATTAGTAATATTATGATAATAGCATACTGGTTGTGCATTCTAAAAAACAATGAAACAATCCATGAAACAAATTTGAAAGTTTAACAAGAAAACAAACAGATAATGTCTTAAAATAGTCATTCATTCATGAAAGCATAAGTAATCGAGTCAAAATTTTGGATCCATCTTCGTAAAAAACTGTCTGTGGATGGGTCTCGCAGCAACTTCACATAGTTTACATAAAGTTATTTTTCTGCCTTAACTCCAGGATATGTATCTATGACTTGAAGGTAGTCATCAGCGGAGGTGTCTTGTGAGGCACCAGGTTTAACTGTGCAGGATTCAACCAGTCTTGTTATTGTACCTCTGATGAATGCGGCAACTTCCTTTTTTTTCTCCACCCTGGCCTGCTTTAACCCGCATGTGAATTCAACATCTCTGTGGATTTGACTGGGGCCTTCTTTTGAGTCACTTATCTGCTCGGTTCCCATGACATCCGACAAACCCTTTGCTCGCTTTGGGTGAAAACATGAGCTTTCGTTGTGACAACCCCACTGAACATGCCGTCCAGCTGAGAATAAACAGAGCACCAAAGCCACGGATCGGAGAGAAAAATTCATATAATTATTTCTGAATATTACTTTTGTAATGAAAGCGTAAAATACTCTCCAAATAAGCGAAGAACTAAAGTCATTCTAAAAGAAATCACCACGATAGAGCACCACCAACTTCTCATATCAAAGAAGGAAGCAAATATTAACACCAAATAACCACTCAATCGAAAACCACCACGAGAAAAAGAAAACAATGTTACTTACAGAGCACCACAATCACGGATCAGAGAGAAGAAAAGGAGAAAGGCAACGACGAGAGAGAGGAGGAGAATCGAAGAAAAGATGTTAGGGCTTCGACATGGGATGAGACCAGAGTAGATGATCGAAGGCACAAGAAGGGCAATCACAGGAAATACTTATTTTTGAACGCGGGCCGCGGGGTTGCGGTTGTGTTCGCTTTTATTAATAACCACACACATGATTATCCCGAAACGTCGACGCAACGCACTAAACAAACACAGGGAGCGACGTTTTAAAAACGCTTCTGCAGGAATAAATTGCCCCAAACACACCCTTACATACATAACACAAATTTCTTATGTATTTACATATCTCACACCTAAATTTTCATATTTACTTACATAATACAAATTTCTTATGTTTTTCCATATATGTCTCACACCTAAATTTTTATATTTACATACACCTAAATTTTTATTCACACCTAAATTTTTATATTTACATACATAACACAAAATTCTTATGTATTTACATATCTCACTCCTAAATTTTCATATTTACGTACATAGCACAAAATTTCTTTTTTATTTACATATCTCATACCTAAAATTCATATATACATACATAGCACAGATTTCTTATGCATTTCTCTCACACCTAAATTTCATATTTACACAGCACAAATTTCTTATGGATTTATAAATCTCACACCAAAATTTACATATTTGCATACATAACACAAATTTCTTATGGATTTACATAACTCACACCTAAATTTTCATATTTACATATATCGCACAAATTTCTTATGCACACATCTCTCACACCTCAATTTCATATTTACATATATACCACAATTTTCTTATGCATTTACATTCTCACACCAAAATTTTAATACATAGCATAAATATTTTATGCAGCATTTACATACCTCACCCCTAAACTGAGGGAAAGACATAAAATCCATATGCATAGCATACCTAACAATGGAATACAAAAAAAAAAACTTAGCAAAGCTTATGTATTTTCGGATCTTACACCTATGCAAGGAAAAAAAAAAAGATGAAAACTTATAATGTATCAAAACTTGGAGGCGTGGAAGAAGATTTCTCACCTTGGATGGGGTTGGAGCAGTGAAACAGAGCTGGATTCGTCGATGAAGCCTAGGAAGCGATAAAGGCGATGAAATGAAGTCGAAGGAGGAGCGCGTGAAGTAAAGCTGCGGTTCGCGGGAGCATTATTTCAAGGCTCTAACTTCAGATGGAGCATTGGCTATGATCAACACTAATAAGAGAGTTTAGCATCGGGCATAGCCGGCGCTAATCCAACGCTATAGTCTCAGATTAGCGACTCTGCTTGATGCAACTCGCTAACATTATTTTTTCTAATTTTGGGACCGCAGGGCGACACTATCAGATGATAATTTGCGTCAGAAATAATTTGGACTCTAATTAACAGTTTTTTTGTGATGTTTATAACTCTACTTTCACTTTTATCTTCACTCGTTTACATTTAATGAGACGTATTAACCATATATATATGGATTATTACATATGCGATAGTTTTGATAACTCTACTTGATTGCACATAATGTACAATCCCCCAACTACAACCACCTACTCTTCTCCCATTTTCTCATTTTCTACACATTTTTGATACAAAAATATATAAATTCTAAGCATTTTGACATATCAGATATCGCATGCTGCAAAAATCGGCACAAATTAGTAGTCACGATTGATAATGTAATTTACTGGGGAAATAAATATACACATATCAGCGATAACAATTAACAAAACTATTTATATGCATTATCCAGAATAATACAACAACAACAACAACAAAGCATAATCCAAAATAATATTTGAAATATTTCTTATTTTACAATAAATTTATTACATTTAGTATATATGCTAAAATACATAAAAATAATTTATAATACAAAATATAGGGCAAAAAATAAATATTTTTATGTTGATTTGTTCAGTCCTGTCTAAGTTACAACATATAAAAAATTACGGGCTGAAAATTGTGTGAATCTTCGTAGATCTGAATTTGTATGAAAGTTTGTCAAAATAACAGTCAAAACCTCTAAAAAAAGTCACGAGATTGAAATCCGTAATAGGGTAATAGTAATCTGCCAAGAGTTGGACTATTTTCCAAAGTGACCTGACAAAATAGACTTTTTCTTTAAAATTTTTCTCTTTAGGTTCACTATTTGGAGAATGGAAAAACATGAGAACTGCAATCCTGTACTATTATAAGATATTTATATTAATTATTATTTTTATTTTTCCAGTATTTAATAAAATGATATATATAGAATTAATTGAATTTTTATATTTGTTAATTATATACTTTATAAAAAAATTCTTATATCTTGAAATATATGACTCAAAAAATTATAAAAAATTAGTCAATAAATAGGAAAACATGTCTAGAACACACTAATGAAGATGGTTCATAAAACAAACACCAGACGATTCCAAAAAGCCCATTTGTACAAGTATTAAATCCGTAAGAAAGAGAAATACAACAAGAATGTTTTATTTTTCTATTTATGATGCCCAAAAAAATAGGTAAAAATATATTTAAAATATAATCAAACATGTTCTATAGTCTGGTAAATACATTTTAGAGATTGAACATGAAACAAAATTAAAGAATAATTTGAATATAATAAGATCGATTTTTGTAAGTCAAAATTTTGTCCGAATCAAAATTACTAAAAACCGACAAATAAATTGTGCATAAAAAATCAATTCTAAAAACTTCCAGAAAATCTGTAAAATATAAAATAAACATGAAAATTTTAACCAATCCCAAAATAGGTCTAAACAAATACACCTATCTACTATAGGAGCAGTCATCACATACATACCACCAAATTATTTATATGTACATATTTAACACCTAACTTCAATTTATACATAAGTGCCACCATATCAATCAGTAAAAACCTGTATTATAGTTTTGTAAAAGTTAAAACAGTTGTATTTTTATGTGATATGAAACATTTTAGTGGTATAAATATAAAAATCAATGTTCAGGCGCTAGATATGTAAATACATAAGAACTGGGTCTTCATGTAAATGCCACTAAAACTTTGGAGCATTTACATAATAGCACAATTCTTATTCATCAACATATCTCACATCTAAATATTCATATTTACATAAAACACTCAAATCTTTAATATTACATAGAAAATATTGCTATTATCACTTTTTAAAACTAAAATATAACTTTTCATTCACAGGTTTAGAACGCCAAAGTGCGATGTCTATGTAAATATGAAAGTTTAGTTGTGAGATATGTTAAATTTCCCTACTTTTTTTTCTCAGCAATCTCCATGTTCATAAAAAGCTGAATTTATAGTGCCATTAGATCCCCTACACTGCACGCAATCTACTATTGACATCTATTATTCAGCTGAAAAGTGCTAACTTACATTTCAGCGAAGAGATAGCTAATGGAGTTAACAAATCAGCACAAGCAGTGCAAGCTGCAGGAGCTGGGGTCAGACAAATTGGTGCTTTAGCCCGCCAACGGACTATCTGTATGTCTTCAATTTCTATTAGATCTCTATTGAAATAATATTATTTTTAATGGGGGCTAAAATGAAAATTGCCTGGTCTGTTTTTCTTTCTGCAGCAATGATACAAGAAAGAGCGAACCTGCCTGAAATTTCCCTGCGGCCCATGCTTGCAGGCGCTGCAAGGAAAACTTCTGATGCTGTGGGACGAGCCGGGAAGAAATTTTTGCATTTTCTCTCTGGAGGAGAGCAAGATGGTAAGGAATTGATCTCTGATGAGGCTGAATGTTGAAAATTTTTAAGAATATTTACATATATACCACTCAATTCCTATATTCATGCCTAAATTTTATATATCTAACACTTAAACTTCAATATATATATATGCGCCGTGTACTCAGATCAGTTGGTCGGGCATCTTCTTGTCAGTTGTAAGTCCCCTCTGTTCTGGGGTTCGATTCCTCTCGAGTGTAGGGTGTGGTACCGAATTATATGCGCACAAGGGATGGCCGGGGCTCGTATCATGGCTTTCGGTAAATCCTTCAATATATATATATATATACTATCTTTTCTATGCATAAAAATATATACATAGAAAAGATAGTATATAGGAATTGGGTGGTATGTATGTAAATGCCCAAAATTTTATTACAGTAATCTGCCTCTTTTTGTTTGTTTTTTTATCCCTAAGAAACTTATTTGTAATGCTTGCAATTTAGGCAGTCATCCATTCGAGAGAATTTAAAAAAGCGATGGATTGAACAAACCTTTTTACATTTCAAAATATGAATATCACTTTTAAGCAATCAAATGAGCCGTAAGATGACAATTTAGCAAATCTAAAAGTTTGTAGACTTCCGTATCAATACTCATTTAATTGCATGCAAAAAAAAAAAAAAAAAATTTTTTTTGAAGGACAACGATCTTATTTTTATTTATTTTAAATGCGAAATTGAATCATTGTTTATGAGAGTTTTGAAAAGGTTCGAGGAGTTGAAAGATTAATTTTGGTGCCCAATTGCATAAAATCAGATGATAATTTAATATTGTATGCCAGAAATAGTAAGCATGAATCTTGAGGAAATTCAATTGACTGCGGGATAAAAGTACAGTCAAGTATGGTTCATAAAAGTAAGATTAAAGGTTGTGTCCGTAGAAGATTGAAAAGCTTGATTGATCAACTAACAATTTTTTAAGTGCAAGATCCAAAGCTGGACAAACAAAGGCAACTCAAGTTAAAGTTCAAGAACACCAAACCAAGAGAAGCCATCAAACCGACTTTCATGCTAACACTACTAGATGCCTCATAAGAGGCCTCAAGGCTCTTTAAGGGTCCTAAAGCTTTCATCATGACACACTCAACAAACACCCCAACTAGATCTTCTATTAAGAGAAAAACTTCCTATTAGGTTATTGTGATACATCATCTGTCTAATAGCCTAGACTTATCCTGATGAATGGAGCTTCCTACCCAGGGGTCGATAATCGACCATTGAACCAAACCACCTGATCGATTGTCTGAAGATCCATGCGACCAAAAGATAGCCAAAGTCAGTTGTTTGCGCTTACTTAGCAAAGTTGGCCGAATGAGCCTTGCCGATCCAATGACTACCAACCTCAGTCAGTCGAATAATAGGGTAGTCTAGCCATAGACTCATTTAATATCTAAAACACCCTATAACGCCCTCATAAAAGTAGTGGTAAGCATGTAATTGTGCACTTGATACCCTCTTGCCTATAAATAGGGGGTTATTTCTGCATTAAGGGTTTAACCAGTCATTCTTAAGAGAACCAGTTCTTTAATGTACTATCTCTCTCTCTCTCCTCTCTCTCTTTCTCTCCCTCCCTCCCTCTTGTTACGCTCTATTCCTTGTTTTGATTCACATGACAGATTCAGATTCAACATTCTAAAAGGTGCGGTAAGTGTGAATCATGTCAGCAACAAGAAGAGGAGCACCACATGGAGAAGAAACCCGCCAAGAAGATGCAGTGAACATGGAATGCACATAGGAGTTTGTATAAAGGATAATTCAGAAGTTAAGAAACTAGATGTTGAACCAAATGTTAGAGACCATCAAAGAAGTAGTAGCAAGGAGAGGGAACAAAACCCCCAGGAAGAACCGACGACCAAAGGTCGGAGGGCACAGTTGCCTGAAGAAAGTGCAGAAGAGCCCTATTATCAGGACAATGCTAGGTCAGCATTGACAGACAAACATCGGGTTAGGAGCACAGAGGCCCCCCACCAACCAAAGAATGCATCCTCTCGACAAATTTTAGTTGATAACACCTCCCCCTTCCCTACCCTTCTCAAGGAATAGGCACCGTCGCTCGACTCCTAAAAGATCGGTCTGTTCTGATCGACCACATTGCCTCCTTCAAGTTGATCATCTACCTATTGATGATCACTGGCACTCTGAAGTGTCACCTCTTTTTCAGCTGCCGAGGGAGTTGACCCTCAAGTGGTTCAATGGATTGCCAATCGGAGCAATCACTTTTTTGTTGATTTCAAAGTTGTTTCTGGTGAAGTTCGCCAATGCCCAAAAGCTACAGAAGAGTTCGCAAGCCCTGTGGCAGGTTAGGCAATGGCAACATGAGAGCCTTTGCTCATATATAACTCTATTCCAGAAGAAGTTGGAAGTGCGGGATCTGAAACCTACGATAACACATGTTCTCTTGTCTCAAAGGCTGAGAGGAGAACGATTATGATATGTCATAGGCCTGCAGCAACCGAAGAACTTGGATGAACTGTTGGAACCGATTGATAGTCACGTTATAGTCGAGTATATGTCAACAACCCCGCCTTGAACTGTTGGAACCGATTGATAGTCACGTTATAGTAGAGTATATGTCAACAAATCACAAAACTGAATAATCCAACCTTCGCCCATAGATGAGAGCCCCACAAAATAAGGTGTGGAGGCTACAAAACGACCAACATCCTTCCATCCGTCCTTGACATGAAGATAGTCGACTGCCCTCGAAGTACCTGTAGCCAACGGGGATATTCGTAATTTTTTTTCTAAAAAGCGAAAGTCTTGATGCAGGCTATGAAAGACATGGTTTTCCGAACCCCCAGGGAACATCATAATGCTTTTTCTTGTTCGAAAGATGTTGGGGATCCCGCTCGATGTCGCCTGTCATCGACTGAACGTGAACCCATTCGCCTGATCGATGAAGCAGAAAGAAGATCAAGTCCTTGGCGATGACTCTAGCTGGACCAATTTGGGAGGAGTTCTAGAAGCTGAAGGAGGCAGGCTACATATGGAAGGTGTAGTACCCGACGTGGCCTTTAATGTAATTATAGTGTAGAAAGTGAATGAGAGGTGGAGGATATATGTGAACTTCATGAACTTGAACACTATCTACCCTAAGAACGGCTAACCACTGTGAGGATTGACACATTAGTGGACTCAACAGTCAAACACACCATGTGAGCTTCATAGATGTTTTCTCCGACTACCACCAAATAAAGATACTTCTAATTGCTGTGAAAAAAACATCCTTTATCATTTGTGAGGATGTGTATTGTTATAATGTAATAATCTTTGGGCTAAAAAATATCAGTGCTACCTACCAGCGTCTTATGGATAATTTTCTTTAAATAAAAAAGAAAAAATATTGAAGTGTATGTGAATGATATGTTGGTTAAGAGTCAGTTAAAATCGAACACATAAAATATTTAAGAGAAACATTTGAAGCCCAATAAAAATTTAATGTGAGATTAAATCCACTAAAATGTACATTTGAAGTATCCACAGCAAATTTCTCGGCTACCTCTTAACCTTGGAGGGAATAAAAATTAACCCAGAAAAGGTACATGCATTATTGAACATGTCATCTCCCCAAAACACAAAAGACGTCCAAAAGTTAACTGACCGAATTTCGGGTCTAAGCCGGTTCATCTCGAAGGCAAGCGAAAAGGTGTAACATTCTTCAAAATGCTCAATAAGACGAAGAACTTCGAGTGGTTAGTCGAATGTGAGTAACCGTTTATGAAGTTGAAAGATTCATTGGTGTCACTGTCACTACTCCAAAGTAAGAAGCTAAATGAAGAACTCTCTTTGTATTTGGGAGTGAGACCCGGGGCCATCAGCTCGATGCTAGTTTGAAAGGAGTAGGAAAAATAGTTCCCATTCTACTACACTAGTTGAGACCTCAGAGGTATATGATTGTGGAGAAATTAACATTTTCTTTGATTTTTTTTCGCTCATAGGCTTCGACTGTACATCTAAACTCATCTAATTGGGCATCACCGAGTATCCGTTGAATTTTGTCCTCATTCGGCTGAGCATTCCAATTGGCTCCTCAACGGGGCAGTGGAGTTAAGCGAGTTTGACATATCCTATATCCCCCAGACGACAATTAAACCACATGTAGTAGCAGACTTTCTGGCATACTTCTTTGAGTCATGCACGCCGAATGAAGGAGCTAAGGCTGAAAATCAGAACTAGTTCTTATACATTGATGGAGCCTCCAACCAGACAGGAGCAGGAATCATACTTGCTCTGAGTTGTTTAAGTGGAGAGCATCTCTACCATTTGGTTGCTATTGATTTTGAAGCCACCAATAACCATGTGGAGAAAGAAGCCTTGATCGTCGGCATGTGCTAGCTTATGAGATAGGTACCCGACACCTTCACGCAAATTCAGAATCCTAATTGTTGGAAAACTAGTTAAATAAGGAATTCAATGCAAGAGACAAAATGATGATCAAATATGTCAATAAAGCAAAAACGGAGATCTGGAAGTTCGCCAACCTCAAAATTGAATATATTGACAGGGAGGACAACCATGTGGTAGACCACTTATCAAAGTGGATCCGATTGGGGAAAGGAATGTCTCAAAGGCTATTCGACCGACAATTAGGGAACCTAAGCTGATGGAGGTAGAAGCTGAAGAGACAAGGGACTGGATGGATCCTTACATCCACTTATTGGATATTGGTGAGATCGTTGAGGAAATCACAGACCCAAGAAGGTTGAAGTGCAAGGGCACCCAATATCTTCTGATTGAAGGGAAGCTTTTTAGAAAGTCAACCACTTCGCTGTGCTTGAGGTATATCAAAGAAAGCAAAACAAAAAAACATCATCTAAGAGGTACACTCTGGGGAGTATGAGAGTCAGTTTACAGAAAAGACCCCGACACACTGGATTCAATGATAATGCTACTTCTAGTTGACTCTCCTGAAAGATGCGAAAGAATTCTCCAAGAGGTGCGAGCAATACCGGAATGACACGCCACTACAACACCAGCTAGCCCATAGATTGCAGCTGATTGTCAGCCTTTGATTTTTTGCTATCTGGGGGCTCAACATCTTTGGGTCATTCCCACC